CTTATGCCAGGTGTGCATTTAAAATCTCAGACATTCGTGTTGTACCTGCACCGTTTGACGATAATATTGTGGATTTGTCGACTTCCCGTAGGTCGAGCAACCCGATCTCATTCCCAATCACCGCATGACATCCAAAAACTTATCGAATCTAGTCATCTACACTGGTTCAGTCATCCGTACTCTCGTAAAATATAGCGAGCCCTAATTCCAGTTTCCCTCTCTTTTTACTCTGACGAGAGTGAAAAGAGGAAAATTACACCAATTTTCTCTCCTTTTTGCTCTTCCTGAGTAAAGAAGAGAGAAAACAGGAGTTAGCGCTAAATTCCTTTGAAGAGTGTACGGCATCATTATGCCCAATTCGTAACGCTTTCCAAAATTGCGATACTAATGCTTATACCGTGTTAGGCCTTGCGTGAGCGATACCATCCGTGACCATTCGAGGACTCGTCATGAATTGGCCTATCGCCGGGCGTAACGTGAACTAACTGCAACAAACATTTTTTTCACTCTGAAAGCACAGAGAGCTGATAGGTCTTGCCTCATTCTATTGTGCTTTATTGATGAGTGGCATGCGACAGGAAATCGCAATTGCACGGTCGTTTGGTGAAAGTTCATGCAAGGGAAGCCGAAGCCCGGAATGAATGCATCACTAAGTCTGCAGACGCTCGACACACCTCATGGTTGCAGGCGGAGCAAAAGTGGAACCATGACGGCGGATGCCGGACCGAGCATCGCATAGTTCGGATGCGAGATCATCACTCTGGGTATTACGTAGATGTTGTGAAGTCAGAATGCAATCAAAGATTCAAATCCGACGTGCTTTCCCGAGCGGGGCTGCCCTTCCGCAAAGAATACCGCGCATTTCTATCTTCCAGTCGGTTTCATGGCTGGCAACGTAATCGTCGCTTCTCCGTCATTATCTCCACCTGAATCACTAGGGCGCACCTAAATCACTCGACGGCACACGTTTTAAACGTAGGAGGAAAGCCGGAAAGCCAGAGATAGTGAATACATGAATGCATGAGGGATCTCGAACCGAGACTGGAATGAGAGGATCTCCTCTTCCTGAAGAAGCTCTATCTCCGACATCTCCAGACAATCTGAAAGCTGAATCGCATCCAGGTCACGCGTCTCGAGCTCTTTTGATTTCGATATGAGAATTCGCCTTCCGTCAATGTTGAGAATTCTTAGGCGCTTGAATATGAAAGAACCGGCTACACCCACCTTCCCTAGTCTCCATCTTCCGGCTGCGCCACTTGAGGCAGCAGATAAAAAGTTGAGGGAGTGCCTCCTTCAAACGCCGGAAGTACAGGGTAGGGCAAGTAGCCCGCGACTATAACTCCAAATATAGGATTCTTTCTCGGGTTATATTCACGATACTTCCAAATTCCATAGGCTGATATATCTCCAAAATATCTCTGAATCTCCATCCAAATTCGTATCGCTTAAGTAGGCCCATTCACAAGAAGGAAGGAAGCAGTGGAAGCAACTTGTTGACACTGACTGTACACGGAGAGTGTGGAGACCGCATCAGACATCTCTTCCATGAATACTCATCATCATAACGCACATGGTTTGGATCAGGTTTTTCAATGAAGCACTGATGGGAATGGTATCAGTTAGAGAGGGTCGACTTTAGGTCTCGTTTACTTAGTAGGAGGTGCCAGGGAGAATGAAGTCACTCTGAAGGGACTAGAACGTACTCCTTCAATTTCCTACTTTAATACTTGACTTACCGGACAATAAACGTCACATTTTCCCCCAGATTCGGTTAGGGACGTAGTGACATAGTTGCTGAGGCGTAGTCGCAGATGGTGCAGAGATTTTCAGCACAAAATGAGTAGAATCCCTCCAGAACGCTCCGTTGTATTCGGAATAAACATCTGCACATGTGATGCAAATTGAATACATGTATTTCATTTTCCTTGAACGCATCCAATCTGACCCTGTTTTGCAAATCGGGTTCATTTCCAATATCTTTTGCCAAAGAAATTGCAATTACCAAAGAAGGCTGGCAGCTTTCTTCAGAACACGACGGGGTTCAAATTCGGTGATCTATTTTGGCATACCCTGTAAACCTCCTGTAGTCTTTATAATGGCAAACCTCAGATATAAAAATCGCATCTTTTCGATAACTTCGGGCAACCTAAGCTGAAACCAAGACTGTAAGGATAGTGACTCCGATCTACAACTTTGTCGGCCATGGTCAGTCGCCGATGCTGTTGAAAAAAGGCCCAACTTACAATATTCGGAGATTGGTTAGTATCTCCCTCCCTTGTCACAGTTCGCGCCTTATTTGGTTTGAAGATCATACACATTTTTTTGAGCTTGATGGATTGGTAAGCCATGTTTAATTCAACATTCACGAGTCTGTGAGTCATACTCCGTTCCCCACATGACTAAAAAAAATATCCCAACAGTCAGAATTTGGGATTTTTTAAAGGAAAAGAAGTGGCAATACTGCATACTGCGAGGTATCGCCCCAATCTGACAGTCGGCGTTCCATTTCTTCTGGCTCCCCTTACGAAATTCATTTTTATGCCTTTCACGTGCCTGTGGGACAATAGTTCAAGCAACGCCAAGTCATGTAGACATTTCCTCCTTTTTTCTGGGTAATTTTTCAAAAGATTGCTTCTTTCCCCCTTTAGCACGATATAGCGACATCAAAAATAGCTGGAAACCTCAATTCCCTCTGCTATAGTTTCTTTCGAAGACTGAAGAAAGTCTTCTGGGTCCGATGTAGCCGCAGTTCTCCAAGCATAACCCTAACTGCCAGCCGATTGAGATTAGTATCATGATGAAAAGTCATTGCCATTTCTTTCTATGGAGAAATAAAATTACAAACATGGAGGCTACTTTTTCAAGGGGAAATGGTGTGTACATATATACCGGGTGGCCCAAAAAATGTGAGGCCACTGCAAATTTTTACATGTACATATTAAGAACGAAGATTCCAAATATCACAAAAACAGTTAGACAAAGCCTACCATTCGGTGTCATTCACACAAGTACGTAATACTCGATGTGTCCTTCCTGCTGTTGTACTACACACTCAAGACGGTGGCGCCACTTGTTGATGCTGCGGTCAATGAAACGTTGTGACAGTTGACCTCACTTTTTTTTGGCCACCCGATTTATATATATTTATAGTCAGGTCATGGATCGGTTGTGCATGGGAAAGGAAGGAAAGAATTGAATGTGAAACCCTTTCTCAGGCTGAGCATCGGAATAGGACCATGACGAATGGATGGATTTCCTCTTTCGTTGCTGCAAGATCCCTGCAGGAAAGAGACTCCGAGAATTTTCAAGCGACGAAACCCACGAGCCATGTACGTGGAAAAGTGCAGATCTAATCCCAGGCAGGCTTGTATAAGCCGAGATCGAGCAGAAACGCAGAGGCGGAGAGAGATAATGAGAGTGATGCAACCGGAGTTAATTGCTTCGTTCTCTTCTCTATGCTTCCTCATGCAGAAACATCTCCGGAACAAAAATGAGGGGATCCAGCTGGAGATTGAACCAAAAAATTTTAAATTAAGCCTCCTGAAGCTTTTCTGCCATTGCCCTCCTTTCCCTCTCGTCCTGCGCTTTTTTAATCTTCCTTTTCGTGACCCTATTTCCCTTTCGCACGGAAAAATTAGAACTTATTTATCACCTGATGCACCTCCATTTCATCGACGAGACGAGACTTCATTACAGTTTGCGGTCGTAAAAAATTACAAAATATTGAAGACGATATTCTACTGCAGGTACTAGAAAAAAAAGTCACCTTCAAAATGAGAAAAAGTGAAGAACGACGTTATATGATTCGAAAGGTGAACACCTAACCTTCTGCTTATTGAAGCGTGACTCAAGGAGGAAAAACATGCGACCAAATTGATTCTTGAAGGATTGATATTGGTCAAAAGCACTCGCTCTTTATTGCACAGCAACAAAGCGAACTCTACAGAGACCCGAAAAAATTCGGCTGATGTATGGAATGGCGCCTTACTCAAATAATTTTTTTTTTTGGCGTAAAATTTCTGCTTGATACTGACGGGGAATTTTCCTACTGACCCTCCATGAACAGAACAAATCTCTAGATAGCCAGATGATTTTTCCAGAAATTCTAAACATGGCTGAATTCAGTTTGTAAAATAAGCCAAGGTGTTTCACCACCATAGTGAGTATTTCGAGTAAGGCGTTATTGTTGGTGTCAAGTGAGGCTAAAAATACACTCTAGATATGACAAACTATAGAAGAGTGTCTCACTCTCCCCCCCCCCCCCTCTGCGCCCGGTACTTTCCTAAGGCCTGAGAGCTGTGAGAGAGGAAAATTCCTTTCTCCTTTCAGCAAAGTCATTTCAAGCAGCGATGACGGAGGAAAGCAAGAGGGGAAAAATGCAATATCCGGATTAGGAAGGGCCTTACACATGGGTGCAGTATCCTCGCCGAGTCATCTCCTTTTTCCACCCGATTGCTACATTCCTCTCCTTCAATAACGTACCCTTTCTACGCTTCTGATGACCGAGTTCCTTTCATTCCTCTCAGGCGATGCTCTGGTCTTTTTTGCGGTCGATAAAAATATTTGAAGCCGGTTGACAAGTATTCAACGGCTTTGGGAGTGAGAAGTCTACCGCTGTCGAGGAACACGAACCAAATCTTTCCTCGTCGGAATAATACTGAGCCGAAATTTATTCCATCGTTGTGTTAATGCAACTTTAAAATCGGCTAATGTGACGGAACGATAATACTCATGCTTGTCTTTGGGGAGAGCAGAGATAATGAAGTTCCAGGAAAGTTGAGGCCAAGTTCCGCAAAAACAAGACTGAATTGGAGCCGCATTAACACCAAATGCCGTTGAATATTTTCACCCTATCAGTGGCTGTGGTTCGACCACCAGTGCTGCCTTTCCATTTCTTTCCGCTTGAACGAGCTTAGCCTTGCTAAGGATACGATTCTGATATCGTACGTGAGACTCGAGTCTCCTTAAACGAGAAGAACGAGGAAAATACCGATACCGACCTGGTCTTCGTCGCCGTCGTCGGGGATGAAAGACCTGATAGCATGTTGAACGACGATCACATTCACACACGATTCACGATCACAATCACAATCACGTTCTTGAGGGGCGGGAAACAACAGCCCGGAGCGAGGGAACCGAAGATTCACATAGCGAGCGAAGAGCTTATCGCACTCACCGTACTGCACCTCCGGACCAACGTCAAGGGACTAGAGTCTCCTGGCCAAGTGAAAGTTTCTCCCCTTCTTGGTCAGCTCTTCTTCCCTCACTCGCTCGCTCGCTCACTCCTCTTTCAAGGGAGAGAGGGAGAAGAGTGCGTGAGTGTGAAAAAAATCACTACTCCTTCACTCCCCTCCGATTGACCTAAATCATGATCTCTCTCGCTTCTCACTCCTCTCGCTCTCTCTTCTCTCCCGAGAGAAAAGAGAGGCGTACCATAGGGGCGCGAAGAATGGTGTCAAGGTCCTTTCCCAGATCATCACCTCTCCCGTTCCCGCCGACGTTAACGTGGCCGTATTTTCTGCAGATTGAGATTCTCCTCGTCTCCTTCCCGGACTTTCACGGCTTGACGATTCCTCTTGCTAACAT